CCTCAGAGCAAGGTACAAAACTATAGTGTTTGCTTGCTGGCAAAAGACTGAAGTCTCCAAAAAAGCTATAAGACATACTTTTCACGCAAAGAGAGAAATGAAGAATTATAACATCTGTCCAGGTTAGGAAAAAGAACTTCCGGGAGCATTTACCAACTAGCTCCTTTTTTTTTCCTCTAAGAAAACACCCAGAAATGCCTAAAAACTGTATCCATGAGCCATGCAGTGAGTCATGCACAGTGGTGCACACCTGTAATCCCAGCAGCTCAGAGGCTGAGGCAGGAGGATCACAAGTTCAAAACCAACCTCAGAAATTTAGGACCTAAGCTGCTTAGTGAGACCCTGTCTCAAAATTTAAAAAAGGACTGGGAACGTGGCTCARTAGTTAAGTGCCTCTGAGTTCAATCCCCAATGCAAAAAAAAAAAAAAAAGTCACTAAAAGACTGTTAAATGAAATGGTTTTTGGTTTGGGTTTGGGTTTTGTGGTACCAGGGATTGAACCCAGGGGGACTCAACCACTGAGCTACATCCTCAGCCCTTTTTTCATATGTTATGTCAAAAGAGGGTCTGAATTACTTAGAACCTTACTAAATTGCTGAGGCTGGCTTTGAACTCTCAATCCTCCTGTCTCAGCCTCCAGAGCCACTGGGATTACAGGTGTGTGCCACCTTGTCCAGCAAGTGGAATATTTTCTACACAGAGGGTAAAAAGGATACAAAAGAGGGAAAATACTCAGGCCGCTGGGTATGAAGTTGTCTAAAATTAGATACACCAACTGTGTTCATGCACACATCTTCAAGCAATGAGTCTAGTTATTTTTCTTACTTGTAAGTTGGCAATACATTCCACACAGAGACAGTTCTTTACCCAATCTTACAAAGATGCTCAGAAAAACCCTTAAAAATAAAATTGGGACTGGGGTTGTGGCTCAGTTGTAGAGTGCTTGCCTAGCATGTGTGAAGCACAGGGCTCRAATCTCAGCACCACATATAAAWAAATTAAGAAAATAAAGGTCCATCAACAACTAAAAATATATAATTTTTAAAAAATTGTCCCACAAAATTCTCTCCTTTGCAATTACTGAAACCATATAATGAAAATTCAACACTTTTTCCCTCTTCCTCAAAATCTACTTTTTCCTGAAAGTTTATCACAGTCATTAAGAAATTGCTATGTACACTGAAGCATTGTCAGTAAATAGTACTTACTAAAAATGAGAATATGACACAGAGGTTTAAGTGTCCTGAGGACCTGAGAAAAATTTCTTAGAAATTTTATGAAAGAACTTAAAAATGGGCAACAAAAAGTTTGGTAGAAGCTTTTTCCAGATATGCCTAAATTGTGTCAGAAATTATTCACAAAACAAAAACTACTAATATACTTCTGATGCTGTTACTTCTTTACACTAGTATCAGAACCACATCCAGTCAAATGCATATCAGATCTCCCACACACACGCTTTTTTTTTTTTTTTTTGTGTGTGTGTGTGTGTGTGATGCTGGGGATTGAACCAGGGCCTTGTGCATGCAAGGCAAGCACTCTACCAACTGAGCTATATCCCCAGCCCATT